TTACCCACTGCACAAGTAGTACACCTCAAGACCCATCCCAACACGTACCACCAACTTTGCCAACTTTTTTATACAATGGTACTTTCAGTCACTTGATATGTTAATGTTATTTACAATGTATTTCTCACGACAAATTAATGTAGGCCGTCGACTTTTATTTAAAAATCAATTTGATTAATTTTTAAAATTAAATTTATATTATATTAGTTTGATATTTTATAAAAAATTTAAATATTCAAAAATTATATAAAAAGTTTTATAAATTGTAATTTTTTCACAAATCAATATGAATAAAAAAATATATCTTAAAATATTAGTCAAATTTTTTATATTAATTATAAAAAATAAAAACCGATGACAATTAAAAAAAATGGACGGAGGAAGCATGTAGTTTAATTGGCACCGACGAATTGGGGTGGGGGGGGACTTTAACAAAATTTTCTTTTTACCTTATTCTAATGCAAATCCTCCATATAGACCAGCTACTAGCTAGTGCCCTTAATTAGAATCAATTTAAAGTACAGTAAAACTTCTATAAATTCATATTCGATAAATTAATAATTTTTCTAAAAAAATATTTTTCTCTAATTTTGACTTAGGTCAATGAAAGAAATCATCAATTTTAATAAGATAATATGATAATATATTTTCAGAAGGCCCCTATATAAATGTATGGTCCCATTAATATCATAAATTAATAATTTTTTAAAGTACAAATGTATCTAAGACAATTTAGTGAAATATAATTATATCGCGTTCTAGTTTTTATTAAAATTTAAAGGGAAAAAGCATAAAGTGACACATGAAATTGTGACGAATTTTCAAAAAGACACCTAAACAATGCAAGCATTCTATTACCCCCTAAAAAATTTTGAACTAATATTGTTACATCATTTATTGTTCACCTGACATGGAGAGTATATGCACTCTCCTAAAGAGCGTGAACAAATAAAAAAATGAATTTAATTTTATTTTTGCAAGTATTTTTGCTATAAAATATTTTTTCTTGTTTTTCTTATTATTTTAACTTTTTCTCCTTATTATTTTTTTCTTTTTCTTTCTTCCTTATTTTTCAAAAATATTTTGCATCTTCATTGAAGCTCCTCACTTTAAATTAACTCTCCTTAATTTAAAACTTTATGTAAATATTTTATTACATTCGAACAATTTGATAAGCACATTAGATTTCAAGATGATTAGTAGGTATCATTTAGTTTTTTTCATTCAAATTTCAATTAAACTTTTTCAAATTTCGGAGAATAATGATTCTTTCAAAATTATCATTTCTAGTTTTGAAGTTATATGAAAATGAGATAAATTAATGAGATAATTAGGAAGTATCAAATAATTTTGTTTTATCCGATTTCAATTAAGTTCTTTCAATTCTCGGGGAATTAATTTATTCTTTTAAAATAATGATTTCTAATTTTGGATTTATATGAAAATGAGTAGTTGATAATACCCAAAATTTTAATTTTTTTTGGAAAAATAATTAATTGTGTTATCAATAATTTAGTAAAATCTAAATAATAGTATGAATAGAATTTGATCGGAGAAGAAGAAGAAAAAGAAAAAAAAATGAGAGTGAGCTTTAATTTGACATGGGGGATGGTAGGTGAAGAAAAAAAGAGAAAATGGTGTGTGTGTGTGTGCGTGCGCGTGCGCGTGCGCGTGTGCGTGTGCGTGTGTGTGTGCGTGTGTGTGTGTGTGTGTGTGTGTGCGCGCGCGCGCGCGCGCGCGCTCTACTCTCTCCAAACCCCACTTTGTAGGACTTCATTGAATCTGTTGTTGTTGTAGTCAAGCTCTTATGTAGTAGATAGTTCAATTTCAGTACATCTTGAATATAGTGTAAAATACATATTTTTCAAAATCTATCTTAATATAGAGATTGGGCTAGCTTTTGAACCTAAAATTTTTTTCAAGAATATGTATCGTTTAAGTGGAAGGCAGTAGGCGCGACAAAGATTGCTTATTGTGTGTGTGTGTGTGTGTGTGTGTGCGCGCGCGCTCTACTCTCTCCAAACCCCACTTTGTAGGACTTCATTGAATCTGTTGTTGTTGTAGTCAAGCTCTTATGTAGTAGATAGTTCAATTTCAGTACATCTTGAATATAGTGTAAAATACATATTTTTCAAAATCTATCTTAATATAGAGATTGGGCTAGCTTTTGAACCTAAAATTTTTTTCAAGAATATGTATCGTTTAAGTGGAAGGCAGTAGGCGCGACAAAGATTGCTTATTACGAATTATAGATTTTTATGCTAGAAATGATGAAGCGGATTCTTATTGCTATGATGAGCTATTGATTTTGAGCTGAACTTTAAGAATAAAGTACAGCTTGGAGTTTCAATCTGTGTGTCAAATTGATAAAAGGAAATGGATTTTGGTAGTGGTTTTGGTGGCTTTGACTCATTTATTTTGTCAGACCTTGATGCTTCCATATGAAAATGCTCTTCATTCTCTGTTATCCGAGAGCAATATTCAGCTACCCGAAAAGGTAAGTCAGTCCAGTAAAGAACCTTCTTGTTGAATCAGCTAAGGCTGGTGAAAGATTTTCCGGAACGCTTTCAAGCTTTGATGATGTACATATGTTGGCTCATCGCTTGAAAACTATGGATAACGGAGAAATGAACGTTGTCTACAATCGTGAGATTGATAATCCAAGATACATACTAATATGTTTCCAAGAAGCCTAAATTGTCCAGAGTTTTGTCCAAGCTTGATTTCTATCATTGCTAGAGCTATATAGGTAGTAAAGGAGTAAGGATGCTCACTCAGAATTGGGACTATGTCCAGCGACTGTTTTTTTTTGTTACTTGAGCGGGAGTTCTCACTTTTGTAATAAAAATTTCATAGTTAAAAAAAACACATAATATAATATCTCCTTTACTATATAAAAAAAAGAAAAAGAAAGAGACAATCAGCCCAAGTACTCACCACCAATACATAGCAAATTGAACAATTAAAAACAACAACAAATTGAAGGAGCAGTATAGTGTGTTTCACTAAAATGTTTAAATGACTACGTCATTTTTGACAAAACGTCTTCCTCATCTATAGATGTGGTTGGTTGTTTACATGGAATCGGTGATATGGAAAGTGCTTGTGCGAACCGAGAAAAAAGGAAAAGTCTACATTGTTACAAATTAGTAAGTCACTCATCTTATTTTAATTAGTTTGATTATGCCATCTTCTTACAAAATAATAGTTAGATACTTTTATGATAGCTAATCTTAGGTGCTACTAAATGGGAATTCATTTGAAATTATTTTGCTAACATAGTTTAACCATCTATATTACTGACACATGTGTATTAATTGATGATAACTTCACTTCTTTTTATTAAATTTTGATAAATCAGATGACTTTTTCACTTTTACATTCTGATTTATATTTTCTCTGCATAGTTCTGCTACATCAAAAATTACCTTGTGAGTGGTTTTGTCTTGGAATTGAGTAGAAAAGTGGAAAGAGTAGAGTTCAGTGAGTAGCGAATTCTCTTATATGACGGAAGTTAGGCAAATCTCCTTCGAAATAAGTTCGAGTTAATGCCTGTCATACAATTTCTTCTTCTTAAGAATGTCATTTATGGTGCTGTTTCAGCTTAAACAACTCTATGTAATTTGGATTTGTTTCTCTGTATTGAAAGTATCATGTGTTATTTGATAGGTCTTGCAAGAAGTATTGAGGTGCTATTCCATCCCAGAAAATATGTTTGGTAGAGTTTGCATCATTATAGACAAGGTCAGTTTGATAATGTAATTCAGTTCTTATTTTGGTATATAGTATTCCTAAAAGGCAAAAGCAGAACACACTGGTTACGTGATTGCATCTGTTCATTTTCAGCTGGATAACTATTTCTTTGGCACTAAGTGTGAGATGATTATGGATTACACAGGCTGACAGGCACTACTAAATCTCATGGCTACATAAATATTTGTATATAATTTTAAATAATATTATTTGAGGTCGAGGTGGGGAAGCAGGGGTATGGTGATGGTGGTGATGAGGGCTATGGGGAACAATAAGGACACAATCAATGTAAAATGTCACTAGCAAAATTTGTTTTCCTTACTTTCACCGCGATCGAAGTCATTTTAGTTATTTGTAACGAAAATGCATATCAAATTATTTGACCAAATCGAACATGAGAAAATTGAAAACATTCCTCAGAAGATAAAAGTTCATGATATATTGTGGCAAGCTATTGACTTACTAACTTTTGATAATGCTACAGGTAAGGGACTTTCACATTGCAAAGAGAGAGGGAGATATTGGTTCCTATGCAGGTTATATAGGTAAGCTTATGTTATTTGTACTATCTTGATGTATATATATATTTACATAGACGTTCTGTTCAAAAATACTTGCAAATCTCCTTAATAACGAAGGTTTTGCATTTATGTTTGGAAGAACTTTAACATCTGCCTTTTGGGGTGTTGTGGCTGACCGTTATGGACGAAAACCAGTTATAATTTTTGGCACTTCTATAGTGTACGTATGTCTAATCTTAATAGAACTGTTTACGTTTCGATTTCATTCATTTCAATATCAATGCGTTTATATATATTTTCTGGTTTGATTTGAATTCAGCTATTGACTTACTAACTTTTGATAATGCTACAGGTAAGGGACTTTCACATTGCAAAGAGAGAGGAAGATATTGGTTCCTATGCATGTTATACAGGTAAGCTTATGTTATTTGTACTATCTTGATGTATATATATATTTATATAGGCGTTCTGTTCAAAAATACTTACAAATCTCCTTAAATAACGAAGGTTTTGCATTTATGTTTGGAAGAACTTTAACATCTGCCTTTTGGGGTGTTATGGCTGACCGTTATGGACGAAAATCAGTTATAATTTTCGGCACTTCTATAGTGTACGTATGTCTAATCTTAATAGAACTGTTTATGTTTCGATTTCATTCATTTCAATATCAATGCGTTTATATATATTTTCTGGTTTGATTTGAATTCAGGGTTGTTTTCAATACTCTTTTTGGTCTTAGTACCAACTTTTGGATGGTTGTTGTAACAAGATTTCTTCTTGGTAGTTTAAATGGTTTGCTTGGACCAATAAAGGTATTCTGTTATACGATTAAATACCGTGTATCCTCAGTTATTTTGTTAACATACTTACCTTCCATGTTTAGGCATATGCTGCTGAGATTTTTCGTGAAGAATATCAAGCACTAGGAATGTCAACGGTAATATATGTCCTTGCTTCTCTGTGATGTAAATGATTTCTAAGTAATTCTAACATATGACGAATATCGGGTACTAGGAATGTCATTGGAATTTTTGTTGATATTTTTATTATCTTTTAGATTAGTAGTGCATGGGGCATTGGATTGATTATTGGCCCAGCTTTAGGAGGTTTTCTTGCTCAGGTAAGTTTGCTAGTTTAAAATAAATCAAAATTAAAATTCAAAAAGTAAGTGAGAGAAAAATAAAGAAAAAAAATGATAAAGGAAAAACTTAAATTGAAAAAAAATACATTTTAAATTAAATTAACACGTGTCATGTATTGATTAGTGTGTGAACACACTTGCTTCTTAAAATTTTGGATTGATCGAAAAATGGTATAATAATACCGGTTCATAATTGTTTAGTAAAGTAATAGGACGGTTACAAAGTTAAAGTGTCTTTTTAAAAGTTCAGGACAACTTCAATGGTTATTTTATGTCTTTTCTCAAATTTAAATATAGTTGAAGCTCATCTCTAACTTTTCTTATTGCATCCAAGAGTTCTGGTATTGTTTTTCCGAACTGCACCATAAAATTACAAAAAGTTTTAGATATGATAAATGTTTCCTTACGCGTATCTGGTTCCAAAGGTACAATATCATTCTCAACTTCATCATCAACATTGTTTTTTTCGATGGTATACATAATTTTTTCTAAACTCTAGATCTATGAACAAGTATCATTTCCACTTGGCTAATCCAACAGGTTATAGACATCCATTTTCCTATGGTAACCGAGATCATTAATCATGACCTCAAGTTTATGAATGACATTTTTACAAATAGGTTTATTCAGATTCTTTGAGATTGCATCTCCGGAATGATTTTTAAAGTATCGAAAACAATTTGCTATTGTCTCTAGATGAACATTTGTTGTTCAAACAGGAATTGCGTAATTAATAGCATCCAAAACATTGATCTTTGTTGGATCATCATTTTGTTTCACTCCATAGCCTTCTAATATCCTACGATAAATCATATTCGATAATACATCTTGAAAGCTCTTATTATCACAGCATCACAACGTTGAAATTAATAAGATACAATAAGTTTGATATATTCATTGTACTTTATGTACTGATATTTTTTTTATGTAAAATCGATAAATATGATCAATAAATTAATAAAATATAATGATTTTGAGATAATCAAAATTAAGCTTCATCAAATTTCAAATTATTTTTTAAATTAATAAATATTAATTTATCAATTAAATAATATATCTATAAAATAATAAATATTCATGATCCTTCCTATATTAATTTACAGAGATTTTACTCTATTACTTTAAGAATTCTTAGCTAATAGTACTACCTTATTCCATTACTCTACAACAAGTTAGCTTGGCATAAAGAAAAAGTCAGTGAGCATCATTATCAGTTTAATTGAGTGATATGTGAATTAATTATTCAGCAATACGGTTTTAAAATGACATAAAATCTCATCCAAATGAGATAGCCGGTCGACTATTTATAAAGCTAAGAAAATTTTCCTCCCTTAAAACTAACTTTTTAAGTGTGAGTCATGTCAGAAACATATTTTAACAAATACAGATGAAGTAATACATTTTTTGCACACATCATCCTTAATCTAACAAAATCTAGCTAGAACTCTTATCACATACTCATCATAGTAATAGCAGAGACAGAAATTTCACAATTCAAAATATAAAGAAGTCAACGTTCACAACTTTACTTGGCTCCACCACCCCTGATCATTGGCTTACTCTAACTCGCTAACAATTAGTACGTACACCTCATTAACTACACACCTAACAATCAATACAACTATTTTCCAAAACCCTAACTTTTTTGCAAGTCTATATATAAGAGCCTATATTGGAGATTCTGTTGATCATTTCAACAAATTACACCAACTCCAATACCAATGTGGTATGTTGTTGTTTGTCATGTGTTGTTGTTTAGTGTCTGGATGAGTGAAGCCAAGGTGAAGCTGCCGGAAAAAGTGGTTGTACCGGCGGTTTATGCATTTGGAGACTCTATTGTGGATCAAGGAAATAATAACTACATAGCCACAACAATCAAGTGTAATTTTCCACCTTATGGAAAGGACTTAAGGGATGGCATACCAACAGGAAGGTTTAGTAATGCCAAGACGCCACCGGACTTGATAGGTATCGATCACCTACTATTGAATAACTTATATACATCAATGTGAATCGAGGATATTTAAAATATAAGCGCACTATTTAAAGAAAAGAGAAAAAAATACATTAAGTGAAAGTGATCTTTGTTCCTCTTAGTAAATAACTCATCCTTCAACTAAGTGTACCCTGGAGCGGACTCACATGTGTTTCAAGGGTTTATCCGAACCACCTCGGTAAAAAATTATATTATATATATAAGGTAAATTTAGGTCCCTATATGAAACTAAGCCTGACGTCTAGGGTTTGAATTCCTTGCCTATATTTTACAAATTCTTTTAGTTTTTTTTATTTTAAGTAAAAACATGCTAAAAATGTAGTTTTAAATCCCTGGCTAGTGTTCATTTTGTTTTAGTTCCAGTTATGTTCAAGGGTCCCATTTCTTGAAAAAAAAAATTGTTGCCTACACGTTTATTTAGAACTTAAAACCAAATTAAGTCATTATTTAAACTCATTCACCAAAATAATATGTTTTTAATTTTTTTTTACAAAACTAGTATAAACGTATTTCTGAGTAACGTTTTAGGGTATTTTTATTTTTAAAATTCAACGGACAAAAACTGACAGAGCTGACGACGCTAAATGAATAAACGTGCTCCTGAGTAACGTTTTACACCTAAACGTTACTCAGGAGTACGTTTATTGAGAATCCATTCACGGTCCACTAAATCCAATCCTGCAAATGCACAGTGAAATCCTACAGATTTAAAACGTTACTATGAATAACATTTTACACCTAAAACGTTATTCAAGGTAACGTTACTCGTTAATCTTTTGCAATGATGTCGTTAGTGTATATATTTTCCCTTCAGGTGAGTTTTCTAGTGTGAATAATAAGCATTGTGCTCCTATTTTTTGTCAAGTACACAACTAATACAAGATTAGAGAAAGAATGATACCTCCCAATGGTTATAATACGATAAAATTTACAAACTATATGAATAATCAATAACCAAATAGATAATTACAAAAATTGCAAAATTTATATCTTTTAGCTGATTAGAGATGGTGGAAGTATAACCCCCCATCTTAGCAAAATTGCTTTCCATAACCACTGGAAAAACACAAACCAAGTACAAAATAATTGAGATATTCATGATGTATTGCTACTGTTCTTATTGATAATTAAAAAGTTTTCTGAGTAATAAAACATGTTGCTACTGGACAACAGTTCTTATAATTGAGACATTAACACAAAATGCAAAGGGACTACAACTTGTAGCTACTGCACCAAGGATGTAAGTTGTAACAAATCATTTGCCGCGCCATGTCTCAAACAAAGCTGCAATTTTTTTCTGAGAAAATGTCTTGATGTCCTTTCTCCGGATTCTGAAAACATAATCCCTACAAATCATGAAATTTTCATCTCATACACATCCATAAACTCTTGTACCAAAAATCGCAAAATAAAACTCATCTCATACCATAAATATATATAGTTACATGAAATCTTATAGCACCTGAGTAGAGTACATCATTTACTAAACATATGTTTGAATATAGCTAAGACAGGGGGTTATACTTCCATCTCTAATCAGCTAAAGATATAAAGATGGGGGTTGTAGGTGTAAAACGTTAAGTAACGTTTTAAATTTCCAGGATTTAAGTCTGCATTTGCAAGATTGGATACAGTGGCCCGTAATTGGATTCTCAATAAACGTACTCCTGAGTAACGTTTTAGGTGTAAAACGTTATTCAGGAGTACGTTTATTCATTTAACGTCGTCAACTCCGTCAGTTTTTATCCGTTAAATTTTGAAAATAAAAACACCCTAAAACGTTACTTAGAAATACGTTTATACTAGTTTTGTAAAAAAAATTAAAAACATATTATTTTGGTGAATTGGTTTAAATAATGTCTTAGTTGGGTCAAAAATTTCGTTTATTTATACTTTTATTTTTCGAACCCCTGAATGAAAATTTTGAATCCGCCACTAAATTTACCACTAAACCTTTTTTGTAGTATGAACTCCAATGGATAATATTAGATCAGTTCTAAGAAATATATGTACGTTATATTTATGTATCTTGTTTTGTAGAGATATTATGGGTTCACGTGTGCACCCTAAGTTACACACTAAAAGCTGTCTTAGGTGTAATTTGAACTATTATAACTAGTTACCATATTTATTGAAACCTATATATTATTGCAACAATATATTCAATGAAATTTCATAAAGTAGGGTCTGAGGAGGGTAGCAGGCCTTATCACTACCTCGTGGTTTGACATGGCTACATGTTGTGCATTTCAGCTGAAGAACTGGGGATCAAAGGGCTTATTCCAGCTTATTTGGATCCAAATCTAAAGGATGAAGATCTCAAAACTGGTGTAAGTTTTGCATCTGGAGGTTGCGGATATGATCCTCTAACAGGTTCTGCCTTCGTAAGTTCTTACTCATTTTGACACCTAAAACCAAGCAATCTTTATTCATATTTATCTTGTTGTTGATCACATGGTTTAATATGACAAAAGTCACTTTTCATTTAAAATAAATAAAAATATTTTGACTATTTATATTTTATTCCGTAAGTTATCTTAGTTACAAAAATTTTGAATTTTTCATTCCTTAGTTATCTGATACATTGCGAACGATAAATTTTATGAAAATATTTTCACGTAACCAAACACTAGAGAAAATAAGTTTGTTGAATATAATTTTTCACGATACCCAACACCTTATTTCTGTCCAAACAATCAAACACTAATCCTTTGTTTTATGTTTTATCAGTCAATCCTACATCTATCAGATCAATTAACTCTCTTCCAAGAATACATTGAGAAGCTAAAGAGGTTAGTTGGGAAACAAGAAACCACACATATTTTAAACAATAGTTTTTATATGGTGGTTGCCGGTAGTAATGATTTTCTCAACAACTACTACGTCACCGGATTTCGCAAGCATCAATACGATATTAACTCCTATATCGATCATATAGTGTCATGGGCTTCAAACTTCGTACAAGTACGTATACCTAATGACTATACATAAATTATAAAAA